TTTCGTTGTTCATGCCGGGGAGAAAATGATTTCGAAGCAGAGAGAGTCATCATGACCAAACATGACCCACTGATGACACACTCATTTTTATTTTTGATGATAATCTTTTTATGTAAAAACGGGCAAATAAATGGGCTTTTGTTAGCATTTCCACTGATCCAACAATCACCAACAGTGGTTTGAGAGACACTGAAAGAGAGACTGACTGAGGAAAACATTTTTTTAAAGTGACGGCGGTCGTTAACTATCGTGTCAATGACTTTGAATGTGCTACAACAGAGGTACAAGAAAGGAAGTTCAACAGAGTCAGGGTTTCTTTGACTTGGCTCACCAAAACTTGAAATGCTAATCAGAGATATAACAGATTCCACAAAGTCTTGATCGACTGTCTTTAAGCGCAGGCTTTGTGACTCTTTTACCATATGAAATGGATCAATTGGCGCCATCTTCCGCATTGTAAGATTATCTCAAAGAAATATGAGAAGATGAAGCAACCTGTATAAGGCATGATGGCAAAAATCTACTTATGTAAATTCATAGTTAAACATTTATTTAACATCTGTGCCTTCTCTGTTTGATTAAACAACTTTCCATTCTGCAGCTTTTAAACTTGATACAGCAGATTCAAACAAGTTACTCAAGAATTGCATTTAGGTCCAACACTGTCCCGTGACGAAGGATAAAGGGGAAATCTATTTTGTTTTTGGCCAAATTAAATCAAAGTGAAATGAAATTCATTGATTGTATTTATTTATGAGCCATTGCAGACATATTATATGAATGCTTTAAAACAAAGTACACACAACTCTTCTTCTTTCGCTGGTTACCTTGTATTTAAAAAACCTGCATACACACACATTTTGGAAAATGACTTTTTCTAAGTCCTTAACGTCTCTTACCACCTCATCAAACTCCAACAAACACATGCAAGGTTTATGTAGGAATGAGTGTGTTGATTTCCAACTGTCCACTCAGTGCACGGATGACTGCACTGTCAGCATGCCTGGCTCTACCCTGCATTTAAATAAACACCATCTGAGTTGGCTGCTTATGTATAATATCTGTCAGGAAGCTGCCACTCCGTGATCCAGAGACTCTGACCTCTGTCCCCTGGGAAACGGCTGACGGGACCACCTCGGTGACAGGGTGTCTCCCCTGTCCATCCCCCCACTGATACACCCCTCTTTCTCTGCTCGCAACTCAAACGCTTTGCAGCTCTGCCCTATGCATCGGAAATGAGCCGGCCCGTCTTACATTATGCAATGAATAGTTGCGAGGGTAAACACGAGGTATGGATGTGCCTGTCACAAAGATTGATGTTTCCCTGAAAGTTCTGTTGTCATCTTGTCAGTGCTATAAACTTTTTCGAGCTGAATAATTGAGTCCTTCAGCTGAGGAGTCGTGTCAATCTTTTTAAAGTTTACACTTCGTGCTTCGAGGAGTATAGCTCACTGTCTGATAGCTGTAAATCAGAGTTCTGCTGATAAAAGAAAGCTGTGCAATTCCAGCTGATGTAAGATGTACAAATGGCTATAATGACAAACATGTCAAGAACTGATTTTCACTTTTTCAAAAATAATTATTTGAACTGCTAAAAATTGAAAATGTATTATTATTATATTATATATTATCAGGTGCTAGAGCTTTCGGCTACCAAGCCCCGTTCCTCTGGAATCAACTTCCAGTGACGATTAGGGAGGCAGACAGTGTCTACACATTTAAGAGCAGGTTAAAGACTTTCCTTTTTAGTACAACGTACAGTTAAGACTGGTTTTAAACCCCCTTTTATACATCCTCATGGACCCTTCGTTTTATGGAATTTATTTATTGTACTCTATTTGTGTCATTGTGTTATGTTCCTTTTTAAATTGGTATCTTCAAATTGATCTTGTATCATACGTGTGTTGTTTTTATATTGTTTTACATTGCCAATTGTGTTTATTGACTTGTGAAGCCCTCTGAGACAAATAGGATTTTTGATTTTGGGCTATATAAATAAACTTGAATTTAATTGAATTATTATTTAATCTGTAGAGTAAAAACAAATTGCAAGATGATGCCTTTAAAATGTGTAAAAAAAACTTCTAAAAAAAACAATAACATTTCATAGAAAACTGAATAGTAGCAAAAGGAGTAGTATTAAGAATATTTGCAAAATAAGGGGCATCCTTGATAAAATGATAAACATAATTGTTGGCAAAAATGTCTTGTCACTAAACCCCATGACAAATTGGCTCAGTGGAATTTTGTCTATTGACATACCAAATCAGGAATAAAAACCTATAACAGTTTGATTGATCAACATTTTTCAACAAACTCGCCTCTATGGCTGTTCCTGGTCTTAACTTTGCTAAATTAATTAGCTACATTCTAATTATAATAAATGACATTCAACACCTCTGACTGATTGCTCACTTCATAGATGGGTAACTGCCTCAAATCACTAATTAACAACTATGGAAAATGACTAAAATTATATAATATGTCACAAATAGAAGTCTGACATAGGTTAATAATTATAAAATCAAATCTTAAAACAGTAAATGATTTCTTTTAACTTATCCTTATGAAGTTAAGGTTTTGGCTGTAGCATAATGAAACCCTTGGTGTTAAGATTGGTTCATTATAAGCTATACAGTACTTTCACTCTCTGACAGTGGGTACAATCTCCTGGGGAAATTAAGGCCAGTTTTACCGCACACAAACGAAGAGGATAGCTTCTGTTGCACCTACACTTATGAAGGTAATATAACTACTAAAATGGTGGCTCAGCACACTCTTTATTCCTTCCATACCAGCAACACAAAGTATGTTACTTTTTTGTTTGTTGCTAAAGATAGCCATGCCGCTAAAAATATATGACAAGATTGATCCATTTGTTCATATTGAAAAATGCCAGTTTCTACTGAACTCAGTAGCATTAATGCCACTGCATGTCTGTCAATCAATGTTTATTTATATAGCCCAATTTCACAAATGTTACATTTGTCTCAGTGGACTTCACAGTTTGTACAGAATATCAGTATGACAATACATTACATTACATGTTACTTGTTAGATGCTTTTATCCAAAGCAACTTACATACTCAATACTGTGGGCAATCCCCACAGGAGCAATTTAGGGTGAAGTGTCTCAGGGACACAACAACATGCTGACTGCAGTGGGGTTTGAACCTGTGCTCCCCTGATCCGAACACCAACGCACTGGTCCACTGCGCCACAGCCTCCCAATACGACACCCTCTGTCCTTGGACCCTCACATCGTACAAGGAAAAACTTCCAGAGAAAACCCCACAGTTTAAAGGAGAACACGGGAGAAACCTCAGGGAGAGCAACAGAGGAGGGATCCCTCTCCCAGGACGGACAGACGTGCAATAGATGCCGTGTGTAAATTGAAAAGATAATACATTTACAACATAGGTAGACCAAATGTTTGGAAATGCATGTGACTCTTAAGTCCACGATGAAAACACCTACCAACTGTTTTATCCTTCCCAGGCCAGTTACTGTATGTTCAGGATTCACACAAAGACAATGTGTTCCTAAACAAAACCTAATTAGCCCTTGCACTGCGGGCCAGCAAAGACTTAATTTATCTGCATGAGATATTGTGTAAACAGATTCTCTCTGCTTTGCTGTGTTTTTTATATCACTGTGTATACTAAGATGCAGTTCATTTAATTGGAAAATGTGTAAATGAACTTTAAACTCCCCAATGCAATTACCTTTACTGTAATAAGGACGAGCTTTTGAATACAGAAACATTAAGATGGCCAGTGTTCCCTCAGCTTGTTCTGATGTACAGTACATTGCATTTATTTGTAAATGTACGTGTGAGATGGAGCATCCAGCCTGCCAAACTCTGCACACCCCCCACTAAGCACTGTGCTATAATTAAAAATGTTGTTTTCGCTCCAGTATCAACTCTCTGCTTGCACGGAGTAGAAACATATATTGCATGGAATCATTTAAGATAATTTGTCCAGGTTTCTCATGCTGTAGAAATGTAACACCCACATCTTGCCAAAAGCCTTTGAGTACCAAAGCTTTGGCAGTAATTCTCTATGCAGATTCATAAGAGCACACAAGAGGGGAGATGTATCAAATCCCAGTATAAACTCGTAGAAAAAACCTGAATGGCCTTTGCATTTACTCCTCTCCTTTTTAAGATCAATTAAAGAGGAGCTTGTGGTTTTCAAGTTTCACTGGTTTTCAAGTTCCACTTCTGTAGTCCTATTCAGCCACTTGTTAATAACCATCGTTTTTCAGAAACGTAAACTCTTCAAAAATCACCAGTGGGGTCACTGCTGATGTATTTAATGTCGTAGAACAAAACGTGATCCGTCTCTTAACACTAGAACCGCCAGAGGTCGCTGTATACCTAAAACCGCCAACGGGTAAAATGTACCCGCTATTGATTTGCAAGGTACAATGTTATTTTATTTATCATACAGAACAGTGAGTTTTGATCGCACAGGGATGACATTTATACCAATATAATCTGTGGACTCNCCTCCTGTATGTCGACTCGCTCGCGAGTCCTGACCTCTCTCTATTGATGATCGAGTCTGAACTCTCTGACCCGACTCCTTGATGTCGCAGCTCCTTACTCCTCTCGACCTCCCATTGATGTCGGGACGCTCTGACTGCTCTGAGACCTCATCCTGATATCGCAGTCTGAACTCTCTGGAGACTATTTGATAGCTGTAGTTATCAGAGCCTCTCAGTCTGAGCTGTAGTTATCAGAGTCTCTCAGTCTGAGCTGTAGTTATCAGAGCCTCTCAGTCTGAGCTGTAGTTAGCCTCTCAGTCTGAGCTGTAGTTATCAGAGTCTCTCAGTCTGAGCTGTAGTCGTCCGGAGTTGTCCAATATGGCGGACCATCTCGCACATGCGCAGTACAGATCGGGCAGGGGGACGGATCGGGTAGTGACAGTGACAATGGCTCTGGAGCAGCTTTACTCGACATTGAGAAACGGCCCCTGACTCTCTTGGTCACTCACCTTTGACCTCTCGCTCCTCTCCTGCTGCTCCAGCTCTGCTATTCGCTGGCTCAAATCCTCCCAGTGCATGATGGGAAGTTCCTGGTGGTCTATGGATATTGCCGCGATATGATGAAGATCTTCTTCCTCCTCTTCCTCCTCCTCCTCTTCTTCCTCCTCCTTCTCCTCCGCCGTCTCTTTCTCTCCCTCCATCCTCCTCTCTGGAAACGAGAACAAAAAATCTTAAACGAGAACATAGTGACATCACTGTGTAACTCTCACGCTCCTATTGGCTAGCGCACCAACACATTGTGCATGATAGGCTAAGGGGCGGGACATCTCTAAGCGGTGAACTAATCAAAACAGAGCCCATTTTTTTATCCCATTCTGTTAGAAAATAAAGTAAAATGCTATTTCACATAAAATAATGTAATACTCGTGTTATATAAACTAAACAGTGTGTAAATATTACTTTTATTTTTCTATTGTCAGAGATACTTTAATAAAGTAATTTTTAAAGCAAAGAAAATGCATAATAATAGTTTCTTAGATTTTCAAGTGACTATTTCTCTACTTTTTTCTTATGTTAAGTCTGTTTTCCTGTTGTTAACAGCTGCATTAACACACACCTCAGATCTGGTCTCAAACTTCTTTAAACTTAAAAACAGGAGCTTTTTAAACTCTGGTTAAAGTGGTTAAACTCCCCCGCATGTTGTTTACCAGGAGCGGGGAGTCTCGGAGGGTTTTCCCCGCCTCTCAGTCACATCCACTCGGCCTGGATCCCCCCGACATGTCGCTGTTTTTCTCCCCGGGAATAGCGTCCCTTCGCCGGCCTCGCTGCCTGGCGCTCACCGCTGCCTGGAAATATTCGCGGAGGTTTAATTTTAACATGAAATAAAAAGTGAGTTAAAGTTGTTTTAAAGAAGTTAAACTCCGTGTGAAGGAGGCAAGACCTTCTTCCTCTTCCTCCCCCTTCCTCCCCCTTCCTCCACCCCCTCTTTAACCTCTTCTCTCCCCGAGTGACGGAGCTTCAAATCGGGTAAGAAAACTGGGCAGCACCGGGAAGGGGAACCGGTATGGAAGACAATTCCTGCCAATATTATTAAAAAGTGAAAAAAAGATTAAGTGTAACAATGTTGAATTAATTAATAATAAAAAAGTATGTTTTAAAAAAAAAATATTGACATAATATCTCAAAATAATAACTTTGTATCTTGAATAATGAGGTAAAATCTCAAAATAAAGAGTAAAAAACTGATACTCTCAAAATAATGACTTAGTATGTAATCAGAATGACTTATAACAACTTAAGAAGTAAATCAAAATAAAATATTGTCCAAATACCTCTATCTATCAGACAATAATGAGTTAAAATCTTAAAACGATGTCTTAATATCTTGAAATAATGAGAATACATAGTTTTGTTAAATAAAGATTTAATTGCAGGTTCATTGTGTAATTTAAATCGATACAATTCAGATAATTATTGAATATTCTGTTTTATTATCTCGATCATACAGAACGGTTTTTTTGGAGTATTTTTTTTTATCACAGAAACTTCTTCATGAACAAAATCATTTCTGAAAAAAATGTTTATTTTTTATAATTTTTCTCCATGTTGGTTTGTGTCTGTGTGTTTTAGTGAATAGGCAGTGAAGGGTTAACGGAGACTTGGTGTCCAGTTTCACAATTTTTTGGAGATGACGATTCAGAGCAGATGGAGGATTTTGGGAATCTGGAGAACAGCAGTTTAGGGTTTAGTGTCACAACAACAAAGAACTCCTTTAATATACAAATATAACACTAAGAGACGGTGTGTGCTACTTTAACTTGAGTCACTGTAGGTATAATCAAAACAATTTCTGAAGTGTGTGTGTGTGTGTGTGTGTGTGTGTGTGTGTGTGTGTGTGTGTGTGTGTGTGTGTGTGTGTGTGTGTGTGTTTTCATGTAGCATTAAAAAAATGTAACTTTAAAACTAAAACCTATCATTATTTTTGGCAAACTCTTGATTTGAGAAGTGAAAAATGGTTTGTATAAGTATTTTTACTTTTTTGTCAACAAAATGTTTGCAAATAAAAATGTTCTGTCAATCATTTAATAGAAAATTGGATTTCATTTTACTGAAACTGTTTTTTTAGGACAAATTCCTTCTATAATTAAGTTCATTTTAATTAATCTTTAACTGGTTATTATCCCACAGCTTCCATAATACTTTTTCATACAATTTATAACAAAAAGTGCTTTGTGAAATATGAATCAATCACATCCAACTTTCTTTCTATCGCACATTCAAAACCAACAGAGTGCTGTACTTCAATAAATATATAAACAAACAAATAGGACATAAACAAATGTAAACACAAGACAATAAAACGATACATCCAAACGGCAGCGTCGCTTTGCCTCCGTTGCTGGCTTCGAAAGTTGAGAAAAGTTCAACTTTTCAATCTTAGACGGAAGCGCCAGCCAATCAAATCATATGCCAGTACAAGCTCTAGCCAATCAAACCGCGTGCTTGTGTGTCCGGGGCGGGACATTAATGTCATTGGTTGTTGGTCGCACGCCAGACACGCCCACCGGCAAGGCGCGACGCTGCCGTGTGGACGCACCTTTAAAGCCACCGACTGTAAACTCAAATACACACAATATAAACCCTTATGTAAAAGCACTGGCATGTCTAGGGATAAGGGGGTAAACAGTAAATATATTTATTTAACAATAGTTTATTTATATATTTACAATAGTCTCTTATGATAACACCTGTTTTTAATGCTACACACACCCTAAGGATAAAATAAACTCATTACTTGTATTAGTTATTGGTTTGTAAATCCTTTTTCAGTGTTTAATCATTTGTTTCTTGTCCATCTGTCATGATTAATAATATCATATAATGAATAATAATAGATGATGTAGAATAATAAACACAACATGTTTAGAAATGATTTAATTATAGAGGTATGATAACTTCACCAGTAAATAGATTAGGCTTCTTATTAGTTAATACTCCACAAAATCAGGGACAGTTTTATTCCACAGGCCATGAGACTATAAACACCTGAACTTTTTAAAGAACATCCATAACATTCATCTGTTTATCATTTAATTATTTACCTAATATATATTCCATGTACTTGTAGACTCTCCTTGCAATATTTCTATTATATGTGTATTAATTTGCACATCTCAAAACATTCTCTTGCACTATTTTATTTGTTTTATGTCCTATATATATATTCATCTTGCTCTGTTGGAGAAGGACTTCAGTTTTTCATTGACATATCTACACTGTAGCTGCTGAGCACACTATAAAGTAAACGCTCTTCTATGCGCTGCAGTACCAGGTGTTCCCGGCGGGCGTCGCTGTTTCCACAGTAGCAGAACTACCTCTATGTTGTGAAGGACTATGTTGGGAAAACCTTTAAAGTGTTGATAATCCAGGTTTTTGGGGGCTTTTTTCTCGGTTGTTTTTCGGAGGGATCGCGAGACCCACTCTCCCGGAGGACTGCTGCCCGGCTCAGACTGCGTGTTTTCGGGCAGCTGCTGTGGGGTTTTCTGGAGGGTTTCTTCTTTTTTTTTTTACAAGTTAGCTCCACAGCTAAGTCACGTCAGCTGTGCGGCTGGAAGTGCCAGCGCGGACTCCTTAATGCGTTTTAAATACTTTTTCTACATGAAACTGGGAGAGGAGTAAGGGTGTTTTCCTGCGGGAGAAAAGGCTCGGTGATCCGGACTCTGGGTCTGCGGACTGAGAGGCCTGCGGGTCAGGCTCCATCCACCGGGCTTGAGTTGAGCTTCGACGCCGCCTCAGAGGGCTTGGAGGCCGGCAGAAGAAACTGCCTCCGCTGGGGCCTGCGGAGCGAGGTTTCTCTTTTTTTTCCTCAACTTTATTTAACAGTTTTTTTCGAAATCATTAGAAAAACCTACGGAAGAGTGTTAGGGCCATATGAGGAAACATGTTTTGAGATGTGAACAGAGGTTGAAGTTGAGTTTTTGCATAGTTTTGGGGAGTTAGAAAAGTGATTAAAAAATAAATAAAAATTATCATCTTAGAATTGTATTTATTTTTGTCAGAGATTTATAGAGAATTAATTTTTTTAATATATTGTCATTTTTTTTCTGTGATAATCTCAGAAACCTGACAGGAAAAATAACTCAACCTCAACTTTAATGAACAATTGTTTCAAATGCATCAGAAAAAGGCACAGCTACGGAAGAGTTTGAGTAAACTGCTTTGGGATGTGACAAAAAGTTAAAGAAATAAGTTGAGTTCTGACTTTAATCTTAGAATTCTGGGGAAACAGTCAGGGTTCTGAGTTTTTCAGAAAAAATACGTTTTGATTTTTGTGAATTTTATTTTTTTCATAATTTCTTTTGTAAAAAGTAAGAAAAGTGGTAAAAAATGAAATAAAAACCATCTTAGAGTATTTTTTTGTTCTCTATGAATAATAATATTAAAAATATATTTTAGTTTTTCAGATCTTGTTTTCTGTGTAAGAAAATCTCAGAATCCTGACTGAGATTCTGAGATTAAAGTCATTATTCACAATTATTATTTTTGTATACTTTTGGTAACATCCCAAAAAAATTTGACAACTGACTTGGTGGGGTAGGTAATTTTGGAGAGCCAGAAAAAATCTGCCCCTTCATTACAGAGCCCCTCCTCCAACACACACGAACGCGCACATGACCAATGAGGGCACGAGATAAGTTTGTGCACTGATGGAAGGCTGACAGGCAGGTAGGCCATCCAGTTACTTTAGCCGGCTCAGATGATTGGTCGTGCTTTTTACAGGCTTCCACAGATGACATTTTTTTATGGATTTTTTGTCAAAGCACTTCAGATATTCATTGCTATCGGGATGTTAAGAGCATTCCATGGAGTATAACAAAAAGTGTAACTACCCCACCTTTAAATCTCTGAATAACCAACAAATAAAATCACCTTTAGTCACCTCTATATATTTGTTATTACATGTTGCCCTAATCAGAGTTCATTAAATTAATTCCAACCGAAGGCATTATGAACAAAAAACTGAGTAGAGTTCCAGGTTATTCAAAAAAACATAAATTCTGGAGGCATTTTGAGGAAGCGACATTTGTGGATGAAATATTTGAAGCTTAAATAAACAAATGACTAATTCCACATCTTTTTTTTCATATTAAAGGGATGGAGCGGATGGAAGTGGACCAGTGCGCAGGCGCAGCTGGCGGGGCTCTGCGCAGGTCAAACAGCGCCCCCATGATCACCAGTGTCAGGTCGGTGGTACTGCTTACAGAGAGCCACACGACACATATATGTTAAAAAAGTAATGCAAGGTCAAATAAAGGATATTGTAAGTTGTTTTAAAGAGAAAAACGATTTATTGTCTAAAAAATAATCCTGTAATAAGAAAAATGAAATGCTTGTGTTGGAAGCAGCATAAAAAGATGGTGTATGGTTGTAGATATCTTTCTGTATATTTGATTGTGTGTCTCTATGTTGGAATCTGTATTCATGTTTTCTCAGTGACGGGATGACGGTGTTCAGCCCGGTTTCGTCGGCTCGGTATCGACGCAGCAGCGTTTCAATAAACCCCAGCTCACAGGTCAGAGCTACTGTAATAACCTTTATATATTATATATTATATTATATTATATATTATATTATAGTTGAGTGTCTGTTGGTCCTGCAGCTCGTCCCTCTCTCTCCGTTCTCTCTGACCGGAGACAGACTCGACCTCAAGAGGCAGGTGAGGAGTCCACTCTTCTTCTTCTACTCTTTTAAATATGATGCTGGGACTAATCTCTAATTAACACAATTTAAATTAAATTCCCAAAGAACAAATTGAATGTCGGCTCTAGAACAAGTCCAATCATTTACCACGGGGGGGGGGGCACACACTGCCGTCAACAACCAACACACAAACACCAACGCAACTTCAATTTCAAAGCATGCTGTCAAGTCTCTTGTCTTTCACACACATTGCAGGGGTGTAGTGCTATTTCTATAAGGGCCGTAGCACCTATGACATACATGCACGGTTGTTGCACGACCACCAAAACAGAAACATATGGACATAGTTTACGATATAAAAAGTGTGCTAATGTATTGAGTATCCTATCCATGTGAACATGTTTTAAGTGTTAAAGTTAAGTTAAAAGCATCAATCTGGTGCACTGTGAGAGCAACATGAAGAGATCTGGATGCATCTCTCAGCACCCATATGAAACACAACTGAATACAGATTTACTTTTTCTTTATTCATAATTTAAAAATCACTCTCCTTTTAAACTGTATTATTGTTTTACTGTCATATAGTATTTCATACCTGTTTTTCATTTATTCCCTTATTTTTTTTAGTATCCTATAATGATCATATAAAGGTGTTCCTCGGAAATACTTGTTTACATAGATTGTGACCAAACCGTTTGAGACCCACTTAGATAACTTCGACTAAAGTTAACTGTCTAAACACTCAGTCCTTTAGTTATCAGAGTCTCTCAGTCTGAGCTGTAGTTATCAGAGTCTCTCAGTCTGAGCTGTAGTTATCAGAGCCTCTCAGTCTGAGTCTGAGCTGTAGTTATCAGCTCTCAGTCTGAGCTGTAGTTATCAGAGCCTCTCAGTCTGAGCTGTAGTTATCAGAGTCTCTCAGTCTGAGCTGTAGTTATCAGAGCCTCTCAGTCTGAGCTGTAGTTATCTCTCTCAGTCTTATCAGAGCCTCTCAGTCTGAGCTGTAGTTATCAGAGCCTCTCAGTCTGAGCTGTAGTTATCAGAGTCTCTCAGTCTGAGTTATTATCAGAGTCTCTCAGTCTGAGCTGTAGTTATCAGAGCCTCTCAGTCTGAGCTGTAGTTATCTCTCTCAGTCTGAGCTGTAGTTATCAGAGTCTCTCAGTCTGAGCTGTAGTTATCAGAGCCTCTCAGTCTGAGCTGTAGTTATCGTCTCTCAGTCTGAGCTGTAGTTATCAGAGCCTCTCAGTCTGAGCTGTAGTTATCAGAGCCTCTCAGTCTGAGCTGTAGTTATCAGAGTCTCTCAGTGTGAGCTGTAGTTATCAGAGCCTCTCAGTCTGAGCTGTAGTTATCAGAGTCTCTCAGTCTGAGCTGTAGTTATCAGAGCCTCTCAGTCTGAGCTGTAGTTATCAGAGTCTCTCAGTCTGAGCTGTAGTTATCTCTCTCAGTCTGAGCTGTAGTTATCAGAG